GGTAGGTACCCCCGTTTTTAGTAACTGGAAATAAATTGAAAAATATTAAGATATCTGCCCCCAAAAAAAACAAGGGGCATTTACATACATGCCACTTAATTTCTATGTATTTACATATCTGACATAAAAACTTTCATAACATCAAAAATAGCATTATTTTAGGTGTTGTTTTGGATTTTTATTTTTGCTTTTATTCTAAAAACTTGTTTGTTTAGTACAATATTTGTATATTTTTATTTTTTGTTTTAAAAAATAACCTATTTTGTATTTTAAAACACTTGAAATATTTAAAAAATATTTTTAAGTTCTTTTAAAACAGGTAAACATATCATAGCCTATCAATTATATTTTAGTTCTTGTATAAATATAAATTAAAAAAAATAATAATAAAAGTGATCCCAACAACTCCTTATCTTTAAAAAATCAAATATACCTGTTCATGCATATATAAGGTGGCATATATGTAAAAATTGAAGTTTTGGTGTTTGTAAATAGTATGAATTGGGTGGTATGTTTGTAAATCTTCCAAAAAAAAAAAAGACACTGGCATGACAAAAAGATCATTATCAGTAAATTTGCAGGGCAAACACAGCACATTATTTGCTTCACGGATGCCATCATAAACATCCAATGGATGGCCTTCGCCTTGTATTTCCCCCAGCTGCGGCTGCTATTCTTTGCATTCCAGTAAGTCTCATGTATTCTCTCATTTCACTTTTAATTTATGAGTATAAGAGTTAACATTAAAAGACAACAAATAACTATGTATCCTAACCATAGTTAGGTTGGATGTTCACAATACTTGAAAAAACAGAACTTTTCTGGTAATTACGGTTGCTAATGATTCAATTTCAAGCTGAGTCAAACTGATGTCATGATTGATTCATGCATAGATCGATCCACACCAAATTCTAATCCAGTTTTTTTTTTAATGAAATTCAATCATATAACATAATTAACTGTTCCAGTAACAATACTATACGCTCACTGATGCCATGATTGATTCCTTACTGCAGTTATGGAACCTGACCAAACTCGTAGCGAAGCCCGCCGCAGCCCCTGCCTTATTTGGTGGGGGTTTGCTCGGTTATGTGATGTATGATTGCACTCACTATTACCTGCACCATGGAAGGCCTTTCAGAAACCCAGCTAAACATTTGAAGGTCAGAAATCTGAACATTTTACTAGGAAGCTCTTAATTAACCAAAAAAAGTAGGCTTTACATACATGCCACTCAATTCTTATGTATTTACACGTCTAACACCTAAATTGTACATTTTAAATTTTATACCACCCAAATTTTGTTGGAATGGAGAAGCTTTTAGGATTTAACAAATGTTAAAAATTTATGGAAGAAGTTACACTTCTATTTATCACATTTTCTTAGTTTCATACAAACTCAAAGACTCAACTCCTATTTATATTAGTGACACCTTTTAAATTAATTGTTAGGACTGTGCTACTAAATTTTAATCTAATAGTTACAAATGATTCTCTAGAATTCTCTTTATAATTCTATACCTACCACACATTCTAGACAATTTTATGGATTACTCTAGAATAAGCTTCTAGATGAGACTTTTCTAGATTATGCTTCTAGAAATTAAGCTCTTATTGAACTTTATTTAAACAAATAAGGCCCAAAAACTAAAAATCAAGTTTATATTTCAACACCCCCTTTTAAATTTGATTTTGTGACTCCAAGTAAACTTCTCATTTTAATAAAATCTTCACTCTTGAGTGGTTTGGTAAAAATATATGCAACTTGATCTTGAGATTTCATGTACTGCACTTGTATCTTCTTTCTTTCGATGCATTCTCTGATGTAGTGATAACACGTATCAATGTGCTTGCTTTTATCGTGAAAAACTGGATTCTTTGCTACAAATCTTGATCGTCTCTTCTTGTGATAAACTTAACTCCTTTAATAAGTTTCGAAGTCAAATTGCATGACAAACACATGAGGTTACAACCACGTACTCTTTTTCACAAGTAGAAAGAGTGACAATTTGTTGTTTCTTTGACATCTAAGTGAAAGGAGTGTATCCTACGAAGAACATGAACCCTATAATGTTCTTCCTATCATCCATATCTTCAGCTCAATCACTGTTATTATATCATACAAGCTTGAAATTGTTAGATGATGAGTAAATTAAGACAAAATCAATTGTAACTTTGATATAACACATGATTCTTTTAACGGTCTTCAGGTGGGTAGCAATCAGAGTCTCCATGTAGCGACTGACAAATCCAACAATATAAAAAATATAAGGTCTTGTGCATTTCAAGTAGCACAAACTTCCAACCAAGCTCTTGAAAACCGTTTGGATCAATTCTTTTTTCCTTATCATATTTTGATAGCTCGACTCCACATTCTACAGAGGTATTTATAGGTCGGCTATTATCCATCTTGAACTTCTTCAATATCTCCCTTGCATAACTTTCTTGAGAGATGAAAATCTCATTTTTCTTTTGCTTGGCTTCAATCCTAAGGTAGTATGTCTTGAGCCCAATATTTGTCATTTTGAATTCCTTTGTCATCGCTTCTTTAAACTTTTCAAACATGCTTGGATTGTTTCCGGTGAAGATCAAGTCATCAACATATAAACAAACAATCAAGACATTTTCATTCTCATTCTTGATGTAAATAGCATGATCATAAGGACACTTTATGAAGCATTTCTCTTGCAGATACTTATCTATTCGGCTATTCTATGCTTTTGGTGTTTGCTTTAGCCCGTAGAGAGTCTTTTTTAGCTTTAAAACCTTATTTTGTTGTCCTTTGATTTCATATCCTTGACGCTGTTGAATGTAGACTTTTTCTTCAATTACTTCATTCAAGAAGACAGATTTTACATCCATTTGATGTATTCTCCACTTATTTTGAGTTGTCAAAGAGATGATTAGTCTAATAGTTTCTAATCAAGCAATAGGGGCAAATAACTCATCAGAGTCGATGTTTACTCTTTGACTGTAGCTTTTTGCCGCCAATCTTGCCTTTGTATCTTTCAATTTCTTCTTTGTAATTCTTCTTTGCTTTGTACATCAACTTCACATCAATTGTCTTATGCCCTTTAGGAAGTGAAGCTAGCTCCCATATGTCGTTCTTCTCGATTGCATTGATTTCTTCATTCATTGCATCTTTTCACTTCTTGCTTTGTATGGATTCTTGAAAATCCATGGGCTCACAGTCGGCAAAGCGACAAAAGAGAATAAGATTATCTTGATTCTTAGTTACCTCATAAAGATCTAGTAATCTTCGTGGTACTCTTCACTTGAATTTTCTCTTGAAGTTAACGACGATGAACCACTTTGAGTACTTGTAGTCAATGTTGTTTGTGAAGTAGTAGACTCTTCTCTTGCTTGCTTGATCATTGGCTGCTCTACGTCTTCTTATTGAAAGTATGAGAAAAAGTTGTAGTTCTCATCATGTAGTCTGCAGTTTCATTCTCATCCTTAATTGAATATAAAATTTCTGCTAATGATTGTTTTCCCTATATTTGAATTGTATAGCTTGTAGCATTTCGAACTGATGTCGTAATCAATGAAAATGAACTTTTCGCTCTTGTCATTCAGCTTACTTCTTTTCTCGTCAGGTATGTGTACATGAGTTATGCATCCAAAACCTTGTAGATGAGAGATGTCGGGCTTCCTTCCACTCCATGCTTCTTGTGGTGTCTTTCCTATCACACTTCTTGTTGGTGATCGGTTAGCCAAATAAACAGCACATGCAACCGCTTCTGCCCAAAACTCCTTCGACAATCTCTTGCTTTTTAACATGCTCCTTGTCATGTTAAGGATGGTTCTGTTCTTTATTTCCGCTATTCCATTTTGTTGGGGGGATCTTGGAGCAGTTATAAGTCAACGTATTTCGTTGGCTTCACAGAATTCTTGAAATTCTTTTGAAGTAAATTCTCTTCGATCAGATCGCATAACTTTGACCTTGAGACCATTTTCTTTCTCTACATCTGCCTTAAGCTTCTTGAATATTCCTAAAACCTCTGATTTTTGTTTTAAGAAATATACCCATGTTTTCGTGAAAAATCATCTATGAAGAGAATAAAATAGTTGTTCTTATCGAGTGAGTTAGGCTTTATTGGACCGCAAACATTAGTATGTATGAGCTGAATAGGCTTTTGGGCCCTTGAATTTGACTCCCTTGAAAAGCTTTTCCTGAAGTGCTTTCCGAGTAAGCATCTTTCACATAATTGATTAGGGTGATTGATGCAAGGTAATCTTCTCATCATCTCTTTCTTTGAAAGCAATTAAAGTCCTCCGAAGTTGAGATGTCCAAATCGAAGATGTTAGAGCCAAGTAGCATCTTTATAACAGGTCTTGAGACATTTGATAATATCGTTTTGAATGTTGAGCAAAAATATTCTATTTTTAGACATTGACACCTTAGTAATCAAGTTTTGAATCTAACAATCGAAGAATTTTTTTCATGATTGCCACTTCTTCTAACTTCTCACCATTTCTTTTTAGTTGATTGGAAATGGTAATGACTCTAGAAAATTAATCGGAGACCAACTTGTCTTCTTTCATATGCAAAGCATCAAATTAGCTTCTTAAAGTTTGAAGTTATACCTTTATAACTTTCTCTTCTCCCTTATACGAGACCTTGAGCTTCTCTCATGTAGTTTGGCCGAAGTAGCACTTGAGATCTTCTCAAAACCATCTTCATCTAAAGCTTGATAGATGAGGAAGAGAGTCTTCTTGTCTCTCTTTCGCAAGTCTCTTAAGCTATCCTTTTGTGTTGTGGATAGAGTGAACTCGTCGCTTGGCTCATCGTAGCCTTTCTTCACAACCTCCCAAATGTCATGCACTCCAAAGAGTGCCTTCATTTTGATACTTCAATTGTCGTAGATCGAGACTTGGAAGTAAACCATGTCAGACTTTTCTAGAATATGCTTCTAGAAATTAGGCTCTTATTGGGCTTTATTTAAACAACTAAGGCCCAAAAACTAAAAATCAAGTTATATTTCAACAAATCTTTCTATCACATTAAAAAACCATTATTTTAACTTCGAAAAAGTGAAACATGCATTTTCATGCTTAGGTAACGTGGTATGTATCTACAATTTGGAGTTTGGGTGTTACATATGTAAATACATAGAAATTAAGTGTCATTTAGGAAAATCTTCCAAAGAACATGGGGTAATTTACATACATATCACTCAATTCTTATATATTTACATATTTAACTCGTAAACTTTTACATTTACATGCATATCACTCAAATCATTAACATTATATAAAAAATATCAATATTATTAAACTTTTAAAAGCGAATTACATGTTTTTATGCATAGAAATGAAGAGTAATGTATTTAAATCTTCCAAATAACATGGGGGATTAACATATATATCACACAATTTTTATAAATTTACATATATAACTCCTAAACTTTTACATTTACATGCCAACAACTCAAATGTTAAACACTACATAAAAAATATTATTATTACCAACTTCTTAAAAGTGAAATACATATTTACATGCATAGATTTATAACATCAAAGTGTTATAAATGTAACTATCAAACCTTCAAGTGTTAGATATGAAAATACATAAGAATAAAGTTGTATGCATGTAAATCTTCCCAAAAAAAAATTGTGAATAGCAAGAGATCTTACTTGGGAGTTTTTTTGCCAGATTTATCATATGAATCACCACTTTAGAACTCAAACAATGGGATTTGGAATTACTTCTTCGCTGTGGGATGGATTGTTCAGGACATTACCTCCTGCACTGAAGGCCTGTGAGAAGAGCAGCTGAATATTTTAGATTGAGATTTCGGCTGAAAGTGTTCCTATATTCCGGTATGCCTCGCTTCTGTGAAATTTTCACATATTTAATCTTGAAAGAAAGTAGTTTTTGTTCAGTGATAAATATACTTCAGAAAATATTCTTTTTGACCTGTATTTTTGATGTTTTCATCATATTTGACCATAAATATTATAATTTTTATTTTTTTCGTCATTTAATTTTGAGGCAATTACATATTTATCACCCAATGCCTATTATGAATTTATATATCTAACGCCTCAACTTTGGTTTTTTACATTTATATCACCTAAAGCTTTCATATCATATCAAAGTTTCATTTTTAGTTTTAAATGAATCTTGGGACAAAAATGGACTCCCGTCTAAATAATCAGGAGGCCATTTGGACACTTCTCTCTATTATATAACATTCATTATTTTTTTGGGGTTTTGGAGAAATTTATGGGCGACAACCATAAGTTCGGATGACGGTCCGGAATTTGGATGGGCCGTCATGCGATTCGCAACGACATGGACACATCCGGATTGTTATCAGCACGTGCACTCAACAATACATAATAATTTTTCATATTTTTGATAGTTGTGTCTATATGAAAGCATAGAGGAAAACAAAAAAGCTAGAATAGAATATGGACTTAATTCATAATAAGATACAATAGACAAAGCCATGCTTCTCCTTTTTATAGATCACATAGGATAGAAGCAAATATAGCTAACCGGAAATACACCAATGTGAAAGTACATAAATTGAACCGCAGCCCTATGAGCTGCACCTAGTTCAACATAGACACCTTTAACATCCCCCTTCAAATTGATGATCTTTGTCGAAGATTGTCAATTTGCAACGAAGAAGCTTAAACCTGGAATCGGGAAGAAATTTGGTGATGAGATCGGCGATTAGATCAATGGTATTGATATGATGAACTATAAGAACATTATTTTTGATACTTCTCAAATATAATGACAATTGTTCTCTATATTCTTGGTGTGGGCAGAAGACACCAGACTATTGGCAAGAGCAATAACAGAAGTGTTGTCATAGTAAAAAGGAGTTGGAGGATGATATTTCTTGTAGTAAACATTGTAGCTAGACAATTTCAGTTGCTGTTGTAGCCAAGGCTCTATATTCAGCGTTGGTAGAGGAACATATGGTTTCTTGCTTCTCCACAGTTCATGGAATAAGTATAAACCCAAGAAAGATGCAGTAATCAGTCGTCGATTTCCGATCAGCAGGATCGCCAGCCCAATGAGCATCAGCAAAGGCAATGAGATCAAGAGATCCACAGATAATTGGTAGGTTGAGGGTAACAATGCCTTGTAGGTATCGAAGTACACGCTTTAATTCTTGAATGCTAGATTGAATTGGTTGATGCATTGTTTGACTAGAATAATTAACTACATACGTGATATATGGTCTTGTTAATGTTAAATACTGCAAATATCCAATTAGTTTTCGATAAAAAGAGGGATCATGATTGTGATTAGAAGGTCAGAAGACTTCCTGGTTTTGGCAGGATTTTGCATAGGTCTATAGTTAGCCATTCCAGAGTTGTGAAGGATCATGATTGTGAAACTCCTTTTATCGAAATGTAGACCATAGGAGGTAGGTGTAGCTTGTATGCCGAGAAACTTGGATATAAATCCCATATTTTTCATTTTAAATTTGCAGTGTAAGCTTCAAAGAATATTGTCGATAGTAGTGTTATTATTTCCAGTTATTAATACGTCATCCACATAGATGAGCATGTAGATATGAAAGTTGTTGGAATGATAACCATAGAGAGACGGATCGACATAACTGTGGTTAAATTGCAAAGACTGTAAATAGGTAGTGAGGGTGTGATGCCACTGACGGCGTGCTTGCTTGAAGCCGTAAATAGTCTTTTTGAGTTTACAAACAGAAGTAGGTTGAAGGTTGTTCAAGGAAGCCTTGAGGTTGCTGCATGTAGGCACTCCTTATGATCACCGTGAAGGAATGCATTGGCGTGTTTGTCCTGTTGAGAAATATGGAGACCCGGTCCACCGAAATTTATTTAGCTTCCTAATTAAAAATCCCACCTACCGCTCACCTGTACTGCACACCTACCACATCCCACCCCACCTACCGCTCGCTTACCTCCCACCTACCGCTCTCTTGGTTTCTATAAATAGCCTCTTATTGCTTGTCATAAGCCATGTCAAGCCACAAGTCAAGCAAGACCAAGCCAAGTCTTCTAAGAGAGAAAGAGGGGGAGAGCAAGTAAGAAAAGAAAAAAGAATTTTTCTTGTAAATATTGAGGCGCTCGACGGTGTAATTCCTTAAAGAAATAAAATCCTCTGCAGCTCCATGGACGTAGGCAAATTTGCCGAACCACGTAAATCTGTGTATTGCACTGGTATTTTTCTGCGTGCAATTTTTCTCATTCTATTTTTCACTTTATTGTCGTTATTTTTCACAACAACTGATATCAGAGCTTTGGTTCAAATCTAAGAAAGAATGGTGGGCAGAAACGAAGTGATGACATCGGGGATCAAGAAATTCATTGACACAGATTTTGCTTACTGGAGGATGCAGATAAATGACTACCTCTATGGGAAGAAACTTCGTCTTTCGTTACTGGGAAAACGATCAGAAAAGATGGACGAGACGGAATGAAATCTGTTGGATCGACAGGTTCTGGGGTTATACGATTAACCATGTCGAGATCGGTTGCCCACAACGTCATCAAGGGAGAGGACTACTGCAGATCTCATGGCAATCGCGAATAAAAAAGTACATTTGATGAAAAATTATTAAACTTGAAGATGGCGGAATGTGTGTTTATTGATCTACATTTGAATGATTTCAATAGTATCACAAATTATTTGTTGTCTGTTGAAATTGATTTTGATGATGAGATACATGCGCTGATATTGTTGGCTTCATTGTCAAATAGCTGGGAAGCCATGAGGATGGCAGTTAGCAGTTTTACAGGTAAATCCAAGCTGAAATATGATGATATTCGTGATTTGATTTTGGCTGAGGAGGTGTGCATGAAATATTCTGGTGAGACCTCGGGTTCGAGTTTGGCACTGATTGTTGATTCCAGAGGGAGATCACAAAACAGGAATTCAAACAGAGGAAGATCAAAATCAAAGTCTGGTCAGCAGACAATCTGCTGAAGTTGTGGCAAGGCTGACTACATAAAAAGGAACTGCAGGAATTCTAAGAAGAAGGAAAATGATGGCGCTAATGTTGTCATTGAAGAAATACAGGATGCGCTATTGCTGACAGTTTACAGTTCTATTGATGACTGAATACTAGATTCAGGGGTTTCCTTCCATACGTCTTTCTGCAGAGAGTTAATGTGAAATGATGTTGCAGATAACTTCGGGAAGGTATATATGACTGATAGAAAAGCTCTGGACGTGGTGAGGATGGGAGACGTTGATATTGCACTCCCTAACAAGAGAAAAACTTCATCTCTGTTGGGTAGCTCAATAATGGTGGTCATTTGACAGTGTTCTCAGATAGCACCTGGAAGGTTACCAAAAGAGCATTAGTATTGGCTAAAGATAAGAAAACCGATGTTTGCATCATTTTTTTTAATGTCATGTGTCCAGGACGTCGATATTACTTAAGGAGGGCGACAATGTTGTTAACGCTTCGAATACGGGCTAAAAATACATAAATTATCATTTTGGATTGTTCGCTGAAAAAAATGGCATGAACGATCTCGAACGACGAAACAAACCACACGAGTGAATCCGAAATATCGATTTCACTTAGGACGGACGCTCGTTGGACCACAGTTTCGCGCCCGGGCTAAAAATATGCGAATTTTTATTACGTGAATTTTTATTTTCGTCCTGATTGCTAAAATAAGTGGTCCGACCCCAGACGACGAAACGGACAGTGTGGTCGCGTCCAGAACGTCGAATTTACCTAGGGGAGAAATTCATTTCGCTACGATGA